TCCTGAAGGGACAGTGAGCAGTTCTCCTTGGACAGGGAGGTTGTAGGGGAAAGAAACAGAGCTATTTCTACTTGTTGAGCCAAAGTGCAGGGGCTGGGCTGCCCTGTGTGTTTACCTAAAATCTAGGAAAGTCTTACTGAAGCAAGGGGTAGTCCTACTTTTGTCTCTCCACTGAAGCTGGTGAGCTTCCTCCACAGTGGGCGGGGAAGGAGGATGCTCGTCAGTGACCGACCAGCCAGGCAGGTTCTCCGGCAGTTTCCCACCCTCTCCTCAGTCCTGCTGCTTCTATCAAATCTACTGCTACGGGTTCAAACAAGTCGGCTTGCAAGCCTCTGTCTTGTTGCGTAGCCTCTGCCTTGTGCCATGAGTGCCATTTCTTGTTTGTCTCTTGTTAATTCGTCTTCGTTAATGTAAAGTCTGCTTTCTCTCCTTCCTCAGAGGCCAATGCAGGGGATCCTGTTCAACCAGAAAGAGGCTTGGCAACATTGAGACTTCATCGCCTCCCCTTTAAGCTGAATAGTTTTTAACAGTCTTCACTGTCGCATTTGAAAAATTCCTGTGTTATTTTTAAAAAACATCTTTTAAAGGTAATTTTCTCATTTCCTCGCTTTTGCTTGTTGGTTGTTTTATGTGATTATTGGGCGTTCACCCCAAACCGGTCCAGGTCTGACAAACTGACAGTTGTTGAGAATTAAAGGAACATATTACTAGGTTGATTTTCTGCATCAATAGGATTCTCTGACACTTAAATTATAGCTTTAATTTTTGTTTTCAAGGATGATTTCAGTAATTATGGGATTTAAAGTAATAAACGCGTTTGTGAAACAGGGTGTCGATGTGCATGCCCTTGGCCTACACAGTTAACAGACGAAAGCAGAAATAGCCTAAGGACACAGTTCCAGTCCCTTCTCCAGACCGACATTCCCAGCTGAATGTGTTTAGTTTGTCCATGCCTTTCCTTGACCACATCTGCATCTTTACTGCCTGGCTGAGCAAGAGCACATGGAAGCCCAGATTGAATCAAAGAAAGGAGGTTTTCAGTTCATCTGTGAGATGGCTAATCTGGATTATCCATTTGGTGGTATTGAGAATTATTGTGGAAACACATGTCTGGAAGCGTTTAGCTGGGGAAAGGCGTCTCTGGCTGAGGGTGGGTGGCACTTATCCTGTGGGTTGCAGTCCCAGGTTGAATAAGAAGGAGAAAGCAAGCTGAACAGCAGCATTCAACTCTCCTTGCTTCCTGACTGCAGACTCAATGTGACCAGCTGCCTCAAGCTCCTGTCTCCATGACTACACCTGCCTTGAACGAATGGTTGCCTCAAACTGTAAACCAAAATAAATCATTCCTTTCTTCCTTGAGTTTCCTTTGTCAGTTACGCTGTCATAGCAACAGAAAAGTAACGAATACAGTGTGTCTGGAGCACTGAGTCTTTGTTCAAATGCTAGTTACCTTCTGGGCTACAGTTTCCTACTTAAACACCATGGAATTATTTTCCCATAGCTAAAGTAACATAAGATGTACAAAGCATTGGAAATAGAGACGTGTGTGTGTGTGTGTGTGTGTGTGTGTGTGTGTGTGTGTGTGTCTGCAATAATCACTTGCATGCAACTTTTTTACTTGCTTTTTTCCCAGGAATGGTATGTCAAAATATTTCAAAGTACTAATTGATATAATATATTTCATTATTTAACAGATTTTCTATTGTGAAAATTGAAATGACCCCCAAATTTTCCCTGTAAATAGCAACTTATTATGGCAAATAATTTTGCTTCTGGGTTTTTTTCAAAGGAATTTTATTTGTAGCGCAATTCAGGTTTTAAGAAGAGAAACAGATTCCCCAAACAATATTTAATAAACCTCCCTTGGGTCTTATGATTGCCCAATAAATATTATTCTCAATTCTGATTTCTAGCATATTCTTTCTGATGTGTCACTCACGCTGCAGAATGCTGGTAAAGTAGGTGTGTTTAAAACTGAGTTTCACTTAAATAATAGGACAATATCAATGAGAAAGAAAGAGATGTGGAGGAAGAAAGCAAACAAGAGGCAGGCAGGCATAGGGAATAGCATAGCAACCTGGACTCCACCTGGCTTGGGCTGTGCATATCCCTTTTCTTACAAGGCATTTGGGAACCTAAGACCCTCACTAGCATGTGCTATGTGCACATAGCAATCTCTGAACAATGCAACTAGCCACCTGGTGGCAGCCCTTGGCTCCCCCCAGGTGCATCAGGCTGCATGTATTTGTTTTAAATAATGGTTTAAGTTTCTTCTTTTGACAACTACCTCATAGACAGTTTCTAGTCAACGCATTCCCAATACATTCATGTATGAGGGTAGGAGGGCTGATCAGACCTGAACTGGTTTGTGGTGTATGGTAATAAGGCAAAACTGGTTTCTCAAGTGAATTTTTAAGGAGACTCCCCTATTTAGCATCATATGCTTATGTACATGTGTGTGCATATGATTAAAATCAGATGCATTATGGGAAGGACATATACGGCAGAAAGTGATTTTATGATCTAATCTATCAATCAAAAGAGAGAACCACTTTCACTACACTTCTTAGTAACAGGCTTCTCCTCCTCTTTGACTCCATGAAAGGAGGCCCCAGACAGGAGTCAGGGCCTTTGAGTACTTTTAGTCACTCCTGTGGTCTCCTGCTTACCCAGAATGCACTAATTTCTGATCTGTGCTATTGCTTAACTGTTGAATAAAGCTTCTTTGCTACTTTGCAATCTGTGTGAGTTTTTATTTCAATTCTTTGGATAAAAAGCAAGAACCTGGAAATACTGGGCTCAGACTCCCCCCCCCCCCCCCGCCCCCCACCGGTAACAAGTATAGGGAATACTTAAAAACAGTTGTAGAGGGCCAGGGGAGACAGTTCAAAGGGTAACTTGTCTTCCATGCAAGCATCAGGACTTGAGTTCTATCCCCAACATGCAGATAAAAGTAGCAGGGCACAGTGGCTCACACCTGTAAACCTAGCACTGTCTATGGAGTGGAGACAGGCAGACAATCAGCTACCAGTCTGGCCGTTAGTTGATCTCTAGGTCTAGTGAGAGACCATTTCTCAAAAACTAAGGTGGAGAAAGGTTGCAGAAGACACCCACTATCAACCACTGGCCTCCACACTTGCATGAGCATGTGGGCATGTACAACAGAGAGGGGGAGAGGGAGGGAGAGAGAGAGAGAGAGAGAGAGAGAGGAGAGAGAGAGAGAGAGAGAGAGAGAGAGGGAGAGGGAGGGAGAGGGAGGGAGGGAGAGGGAGGGAGAGAGAGGAGGGAGGGAGAGAGAGAGAGAGAGGAGGGAGAGAGAGAGAGGGAGAAGGAGGGAGGGGGGAGGGAGGGAGGGAGGGAGAGAGAGAGAGAGAGAGAGAGAGAGAGAGGGAGAGAGACAGAGAGAGACAGGAGAGAGAGAGAGAGAGAGAGAGAGAGAGAGAGAGAGGGAGGGGGGGGAGAGAGAGAGACAGAGACAGAGACAGAGAGAGAGACAGAGAGAGACAGAGAGAGACAGAGACAGAGAGAGGGAGAGAGAGGGAGAGAGAGGGAGAGGGAGGGAGGGGGGGAGGGAGGGAGGGGGGAGGAAGGGAGAGAGAGAGAGAGAGAGAGAGAGAGAGAGAGAGAGAGAGAGAGAGAGAGAGAGAGAGGTGTTATATAATTTTATGAACGTACTTACTAAGCCCAGAGAAGAAAGGAGGTGGCTGGGTCGAGCTGCACAACCATTTGGATTTTGTGGCCCTCGCCCTTCTCTCTCACCCCTTGTTCCCTCCCGTCAGCTGTTCTTGCTAGCACTCCCAAGGCTCTATGGAGCTGACAAGCCCTCTCTGAGCCTTGGTGCCCGCTCCTTTCCGTTTCCCTCCTGCCCTGTGCTTGGTGCCTAGAAGTGCAGTGTTTATCTCTTGAGTCCATTTACTCAGTATCTACTGTGTCCTGGACACAGTGCAAGGCTTGCAAATCCACAGACAGCCAAGTCTGACTGGGTAGAGAGCATGAGGAGACTGGGAGTGGGTTCGAGTCTTGACAGAACTGGAGTTAGTGAAGGAAAGGATGGGTGGGTATACAAGTGTAGGAGAGCATTTCTGACGGGGGAACAGTCTTGCAAAGTCACTAGGTGTGAATGAGCATGTAAGAGAAATGGAGACTGAAGGCCAGAGTCTGGAGCTCCAGCCCTGTGGTGTAGAGTCCCTCCCTCGTTTAAAAACATGAGATTCAGTTTCCATGATGGTTAATCTCCACAGGATTTAAAACAATCATTCGAACCTACCTCTGGCATGTGGTGAAGCATTTTCAGAGTTTAGCTGAGGAGTAGCTTGGGGAGGAAAGTGTTTATGTCAGCTTACAATTCTCAGATCACACTCCGTCACTGAGGGAAGTCAGGGCAGGAACCCCAGGCAGGAACCTGGAGGCAGGAGCTGATTCAAGGCCTCTGAGGTGCTGCTTATTGGCTTGCTCTTCATGGCTTGCTCGGTCTGCTTTCTCATAGCACCCAGGACTACCAGCCTGGGGGTGGCCCTACCCACAGTGTGCTGGGTCCTCTCACATTAGTCAGTAATCAAGAAAATGACCCACAGGCTTGCCTATAGACCAATATGGTGGGGACGTTTGCTCAGTTGTGGTTCCCTGTTCCCAAATGACTCGAGCTTGTGTCAGGGTGACATTAACCTGGTGCTCACAGGAGGGAGACTCACTGTGAATGTGGCAGCACCATCTCGGAGGCTGGGCTCCTGGGCTGAATAAGGAGACAGCGAGCTGAGCAGGAGCATTGTCTCTGCTTGCTGATGTCAGGGGCATGTGACAAGCTGCCTCATATCCCCACCACCATGTCTCCCCCACCTTGACGGGCCGTATTTTCCCACTGTGCACCAAAATAAACCCTTGCTTACGTTGTTCTCAGATATCTTCAGTCACAGCGACAGAGAGCAGCAGCAGTCCTCACTGTCCTCTGTGACCATCTAGTCTGTAAAGTCTGCCCAAGAGCACCCAGAGCCAAGCTTTACCTTTTCTCATCATGTCTGTAAGATGAAGAGGTCCGGCCACTGGTCCATATAAACATCTTAGAGGATGTTGGTCCTGTAGCTCCTTTCCTCACGGTGGAAGGTCCTGGGGGAGTGGCAGAAAGACCTGCAGAGGACACACTGGGGTTTAAAACTCTGTCCCTGGGGTTTCTGGAACTCTGTGTCAACAGCAACAGCTCAGAGGATCAGCTCTCTTAAACAATCCAGGGCTTTTACACTGTGAGGGTGCTGGGTCTGTTCCCAGGCAGAAATCCCACTGAAGCCTGGCCCCTCCCTCAGAACTTTGCACCCCATTTTTACAAGGGTCGGTCCTTTACAGTTCGCACTGACAGGCAGGGAAGCCTCTGCCTTATGGAATCCTGGTTTTCTCACTGGTGTCAAAAACACAGAATCAGTTTGGATTCCATCTCAAATATGATATACTTGAACAAATTTTAGTTGAGGTTTGGATACTAAAATTCTACTTCTTTCTCTTCAAAATTGCTTTACTGTTCACAGAAGTGACCTGTTGGAGTGAAATATCTTTTTTTTTTTTTTCTTAGTTTTGGAGGCAGTCTCAGTTTGCAGCCCAGCCTGGCTTCAAATTTATGAATCTCCTGCCTCAGCTTCCCAAGTGCTGGGATTGCAGGGAAGGGTTGTCCCTAAAGTGTACTGTTGCCCGTGTGGGCTCAGCTCACAGCAGCAGAGCTCACCAGGGATACTGCTAGAGATGTGATCAGCAGCATGTGCCTAGGAGCTCTTAGCAGCCTGGCTTCTGGGATCTGGAAAGAAAGAGATGGCAGGCATGCAGTGTTCTTTGGTTTGGGTTTTGGGAAGGGTTCCCTTGTCTCTAAATAGCACCCAAACAAGCTATTATTGAGTATTTTCTACCTTTATTTTCTTTAAGAAAAAATATTACTTCTTCTAGTTTTTCTTTTACTTTTATTTATATGTATACATCTATGTAGGGGCTTGTGCACTTGGGTGAAGGTGTCCAGAGAACAGAGAAGGCATCAGATCTCCTGGAGCTGGAGTTACAGGCAGTTGTGAGCTGCCGGATGTGGGTGCTGGGAACCAAACTTAGGTCCTTTCTGTGACATCTCTCTAGCCCTCTACTTAATAATTTTCTAGAGAAATAGAAACACAAAATATCATAAGGATAACAATCCAACATGAAAGCTAAATGACACTTAATGCATTAAAACCAAGGAAGGCTGAAGAGTGACTCCTTCAGTGTGCATGGTTAATAGGACTGTTATCAACGATGAATATGAGTCTAGAAACAGTATTAGTTAACTATACTGTATTCCCTGTTACATGCTTGGTACTCCACACGTATACTATCTATTCACAAAGCATGAAACCATAGTCATGTACCTATGTTAGGACTATGCCATGAAAACCAGAAGAGCAGGTAGTGATGTAATTTCAAGATAACCAATGTTACTTTCTGCTTATATCCAGAGCAGTGCTCTACCCTTGAGCTGTGTCCCCAGCCCCTGGTTACTGTTCGACTCCCCTCCCCTATCTCTTTCCCTAAACCCGCCCCTTCAAAGCCCACCAAACACAGCTTGTTCTGGTGGAAGATCTACCTCAACTCCCCTCCCCCATCTCTTTCCCCAAACCTGACCCTTCAAAGCCTGCCAAACACAGTGGCTAGTGACCAGTGCGGATGCAGAGGTCTCCTTTGGTCTCCCAGGATAATGGAGGGATGTTATGACCCACCTGCATAGATTGCCTCCACAGCTGTAGGAAGAGAGGAAACTGAATCTAGGCTGGGTGTGGCACACCTGAAACCCCAGCACTCAGGCAGCGGAGGCAGGAGGATCAGGAGCGTAAAGCTATCTCACTGGAAGGTATGACCTAGAACAGGGCCTAAACCCATTCTTTATCTAGGTAGCCTCCAGGAGATCAGGGTGATTTGGTGTGAGTTGAGTGTTACATCATAGAATAGGATTGACTTGAACTTCGTGGAGTTATTTCAAAATAGACTTGTAGACTCCTCTGGCTCCTCTGATTAGCCCCGAGAGGGTTGGGGGTGTAGGAGAGACAAAAAGAAGCTGTCCAGTTGAGGGCGGGTGGAGTGGTAAGTTAGACAGAGCTGCCGCGCTATCGGCTATTGGCCAGACTTAACAGCCACAAAGTAGAAATCCCAAATCCTCTGAAATAATTCAAAATGAAGGGGCTGCAGTGATCTGATGTCCTCAGGGCGCTTTTCTGACTGGGGGGTCACTAGAAGGCACTTTGACTCTGTTGTTTTAAGTTGATGCAGAAAGAGGAAATGAAAGACATGTTTATTCTAATTAACTGTCTGAAACCCGTTGGAAAGGGCTTTCTTGCTGCTGAGGTTATTCCAATAAGCAGATTTGGAGTTTTCTACCCCAGTTTTCTTTCATGAAGACAAATCGTTATTTAAAACCTGCTAAGTTCACTGTTAATTAAAATGAACAGAGTTGGCGCTTTTTAAAGGCCACAGTATACAGATCCTATTTTCAGGTTTCAAAAGAAACGTCTGGAATTCAGACTGCGTCAGCAGAAGTTGGCTGAAGGTTGCTCCCCACCTAAAACAGCCCTTTCACCTTCTAGTAAAAGGGACTCAACTCTCCCCACCGAGGCAGGGAGGGTTCTTTTGAGTTGTCATCAGTGAAGTAAGTGACAGAGGAGCAGGAGAAATCTTTGTAAATTTTGAAATTTTGAATCCCATGTGGAGGGTCTGTGCTAGACTGTTGGCCGGGGAGAAGACTGGTCTACTGCGCTGCCGAGTGTCCTGCAATGGGGGACCTCCGCAGAGCACTGATTCATGGCTGCAGGCGAGTGTGGACTGAAACCCACAGACCTCAGAGACCTGCTTCTGGACAGGGAGGTGGTGGTTCAGTCAGCAGTGCTTGCCCGTGACCTGTACCTGATCCCTGGTGTCCAAATCCAGGCATGGTGGTGTGGGCTTGTAATCCCGGCCCTGGGGAGGGGAGGCGGGCTGATCCCTGGGACCTGCTGGCCTGCTTGGCAAGTTCCAGGCCAACAAGAGGCCCTGTCTTAAAAAACAAGGTGGATGGCTCCAGAGGGCGACACCTGCAGCTGACCTGTGGCCGTACATGCAAGCACACACCTACACATGCATCTACGCACAAAGACATAGTTCTCGGCTTTCAAAGAACGCAGGGGTCGACAAGAGGGGGGCACTTTCCTTGTCTCAGGAATTGGTCGAAGCCCTTTCCATGTCCAAGCCCACCTCATTGTTTCTGTTGCTTCCGCTGCGAGAGCCCCTCTGCCTCGCTTCCCTACTGGGAAAATGTCCCTTTCTATGGAGCTTTCTCTGACGGCCCTGAGGGGCGCCACTCCTCTGAATAAAGCAAGGCAGGATGATCCTGTCTGTACACGCCCCCTCTTCCCTGCTAGGTGGGGTGTCAGCCCGACATGCCAAGTGCACAGTTGGCAGGAAACGGCTCTGCTGCTTTGACAGCACAGGAGATCATCAGAAAGTGTGATGGTTGCCTTGGCTTTGCCCATACGTTTTGACAACGACAACTGGCATGTCCTTAGTCCTTCCCTTAGCTTAGGATGTTCTGCATCTTCTGAGTTTATATTTGTTTGTTTGAAATAAATACTAGCCTTGGATGAGCTGTGTACCAGAAGACAACCTTGAAATTCTGATCCTCCCGCCTCTGCCTCCTGAGTGCTGGAATGGCAGGTGTATGCCACCACTGTTGGTTTTTGGGTTCTGGAGACTAACTCAGGGTCTTAGGAGAGCTCTGCAAGTTCTCTGTCAGTAGAGTGACAGACAGCCCAGCCCTGCGGATTGTCTATGCTTCTCTTCCCATCTAACTGCCCTGTTTCCTCTCTCCTCTCATTAACTTAGAAAGTTTAGATTGCCAGCTGAATTATTGTTCAATATGGATCTTTTAGAAAGGGCAGCATGGCCCAAGAAGAAGATGAGCACGAACAGCAGATGGTCCAGCTGTTTGTGTGCCTCTTGGCATCGCCATCTACCAACTGTGTGACTTTGTACAAGCCAATTAACAGCTCTGAGTTTCTGTGTAAATATGGAAGGAAAAATCCCTGCCCCCTGGTGGCTTGGAAGATAAAGCAAGCAATATGTGCAAGGGGACCTCAAGTGTGTTTGCATGTGATAGGCATACACTACACATTACTTTCCTTCATTTCCCTCCCCACTACAAACTTAAAAACAAACAGAGGGAAGAAAATCCAATTAAGTTGCTTTGTACCTGAACACAGAGCAAATTGATTCTTTCCTGTCCTATGGGGCCGGTGGCAGTCAGAACTATTGAGATGGCAAAATCAAAATACATCTTCATTAGCACTAAGTTGTGACACTTGTCCTGAGCAAGAGGACCAGGAAGGTAGTGCTACTGAGTGTGGTCATGTGCTGGAGACACCTAGGGGAATTATTGAAAAATTCTGGGGCTACAGGCTGGAGAGATATCTTGACACTTAAGGGCACTTACCAAACTTTCAGAGGACTTGGGGTCAGTTCCTAGCACCCATATTCTGGGCTCATAACCACCTGTACCTCCAGATCCAGGGGATTAGATACCCTCTGACCTCCTAGGACACCCACATGCATGTGATGGGCTTAAACTTACTCAGGCCCATACACATACAACATAAATATAGATAAATAAATAAATCTTAAAAACATTCTAGTGCTTGGTCTTTCAGGCCTGGCCAACCTTTTCACGTTCAACATGACATTGTCATCTACAATGTGCACACTCAGGACCACACAACTGAGTCACAAGACAACACACACACACACACACACACACACACACACACACACACACACACACACTAATCTCATAGGTCTTAAGTGAGTTTATGATTTTCTGTTCGGCCACCCTCATAGCTATCCTGGGGTGCATATGCCATGTGGGCTGCAGGTTGGACAGGATGGCTTGGGAGGTGAACAGGCTCCAGGTTTGGGTCTCTGACATTGTCCCCCTCCTAAAGTTGTGTCCAGGTAAATAAATAAATCAAATACACAAATAAGTGTACAAATGAATAAATTCCATGTGCTTGCACCACAGTACTAGTGAGGTGAGTGGATGACTTGCAGGAGTCAGTTTACGTCTCTCCTGGGGTCCCAGTGATGGAACTCAGGGTGTCATG